TTTGAATAATTTTATCATTTTATTAAAATTTCAATGGGACTATAAACTCTTCCTGCTATACAATGATGATTACTTAACACTGAATAAAAAATATTTCATTGGGATCTTCCTTTTTCTTCATAAGTTTGAACTTGATCCAAAGGCGTCTCGAATATGAGAAACGAAAGTAAAGTAATTGATTCTTTTTTGCTTTCTATATTTATTAATTTAGAAATATTTGAAAATAATTATTTGAGAAAGTTGACAATAAAACCTAAATACACACCATAATTTCGTGTCGTTTATCTAGGCCTGTTGTACTAACTCATTGGTGGATGGATAAGTGGTCAAGTGGCGAATTCAAGTGGTCATATGCCCCCGTTTTGTCGGTAAACGAACTGTTAAATTTTACGATCTAGTTTTCGATTATTTATTTATGACTTTAAGGGCTTTTTACTAGTAATACAAACACCAACAATAGCTGAGGTTCCGGTATCCCACAATGAGAAGTTTACGATGGTTAAGTAGATTTGACGAGGCATGGTTTGCTGATAGAGTTCGCCCTAAGACACGATTCATCTGCAACTCATGTCTAGTCAACAGCTCATTTTTTTCGTAAAATTAGGAAAGTACCATCAGATCATTGCGCTTGGGAATAATAACTTCAACAATACGGTAGTACCACTTGAGTATATTCTGCGAGAAGTGAGATGGATACGTAAATTTATACAATAGCGAAATATTCCAGGTGGCCCACGCTGTGGTATTCATAACAGTTCCTGACCAAATAAGAAATAGCTACCTCCTTTATTTCAAGAAGATTAATTTAACTTCGATCTCTTCTCAGTTGTAAAAAAATAGTCACCGAAATACATTCAATTTGTTTTTTTTCAATAAGGAAATATGATAAATTACAATAAAGTTTGTTCAATTTCGTAAATACAAATATTCGTAATAACTTTTAAAAATCTCAAGATTTTTTCCCTGTTGAAAACTATTGAATACCGTTAAAATTTACGAAATTTTGAAGTTTTGTAATTTACTTTGTGGCGATAAAATCAAAATATTCGATATCCAGCTTTCTATCTAAATTCACTGAACAGTGAACAAGGGATTGTTTAACAATATTGTCAATACTTTTCACTTTTTATTCTTTTCGCTTAATAAAGCCTTTGGGATAGAATTTCCCCCAACATTTAGTAATATAATGATGATCCTAGTCTCAAGTTGCGTTCTATGTAAGCAATGTTTATCTTTATCAAATGATTCACAGCTTTTGTGTCGAGGGTTGACTCATGAGAGTAAATTAGTGAAATAGTCTAGTTTTGACTCGTGCCATAATCTCAAATCACCACTTATGAGTAAAATGATGTTACATTATCTTTTTCTATCTATTTCTTATATTCATTGTGAAAATATGGGGTGGAATTGTTATCCACACGCACGCGATTTACAGTTTGATACATGTTTCAGCAATCTGTCGCGACAATTTGAATTGGCTCAGTGGATTTACTTAGTACGTCATTACAAAGTAATACAGTACTAGGAATATTTACCAACAGATATATTAACTGAATTTTGATGTTTAGCGTCAGCGCTGAGTAGAGTGGCCTTTTCACTGAAAGTGTGAAGGGTCCGAGGCTAATTTCTCACAAAATTAGTTAATAATATGGGCTGGTACAATTATGTTCTTATAAAAAAGCGAGGAATGGGTCGTCCGTGTTGCTCAGATCTGCTTTACACAAAATCCATTCATAAGCATTGTTGCATGTAAAAAATATAGTTTCATGCTTAACAATATTTCTAAACAATTTATAATTACTTATATAAACGTCCCACATGCCACAATACTCTGTCAGTCATGAGCAAATCATACCAAGGTCTATCTTTTTCAGAAAACAATTGACTACCAAGATGTCACATGCGGATGATAGGCAGATACATCTCGTAAACATTCACCCACGCAATATTATTACTTCGCACGATATCTTCATCTACCAGAAAGTCCCGCCATTTATGAAAGCTGATAAACGGTGGTTGGCATCAAATTACCACATTGATGAGTATATAACATGATGTTACATCAAAATAATGAAATTAATTTGAGGCAATACAACAAAATTTATGCATGATATGCGGTAGACAATTCATGACCATCGACTAGAACAGGTGCCACTTTAGTGCAACATTCAAAAATGGCAAGCAATTCAATTTCGTTGGAATGTATCGTTGTTTATATCTATTATATATATCTATTTGTACTATAGTGACACCTGCAAATTTGATTAAGTCTTTGCCCGTTGGGACCATGGTCCAAGTAAGAACATAATGCAACTCATAATTATTTATTTAAAACTTATAATTCCACTCAAGCTGTTTACACATGTATCACTCAAAATTAAAATAGTTGATGCTGAGCTTCGCGTGATTACGAATTTAAAATTGTTTTGGTTCAATCTACACAGCCTACATCTCATTATAATACTGCATAACGACACGGCTTAGATGTATTTTACTATCAAAGATTCTAATTTCATCTCTATGCTCGTTGTGTTATTTGGAATAATATATTTTGTGGAAATTAAAAAGAACGAAGCATAAAACTCCTAAAATATATATAATATATAATTATATCAACAATGTGTCCGGAAAGGAAGAGACTTATACTTAAGCAAATAAGTTAAAATTACTCGTTCATTACTACTTATTACGATGTAATAAAATTACGTATATGTGGGGAGATTACAACAGGGATTTAATCTGAAGATGTATAATTAGAGTTTCATATCACGAGTAAACACAATTTAAAATTAGAACGAATGCCAAATTAAAATTATACACTTTATTACGAATCCAAATATTTTCGACAAATTTCAGGTGGTTAACAATTGCCGACGTTTTGATCTTGGAAATTAAACTCAAATAATGATTACTTCTTATACATTTAATGATGATACAAAAGTTAAATGAGTTTCAGAGTGATCTGAGATCCAAAGAACATAACCCGTTCCCGCCCGGACAATATCCCATGTTAAATGTAGTTTATTGATTGATTCAGCGAGATGCCCGATATACTGGCAAAGAGCAATAGGTTAGAAAAATGAGAAAATTGTTTGAAATCTTATTATACTATGTGAATTTTTTTGTTTTGTTTTTCCGAGTGTAATTACGTCATCCTGATCAAATAGCATGGATTTGAAGAATTTCGGGTCCAAATCTCACGGATTAGAGGTATAGTTCTCTTGTTACAATACGAGCTATATCATGTTACGAAAAATTAGGTGTAATTTGTAGAGTTTGAATCCTGTTATTGACAAGAGGTGGCCAAATTACGAGGTTGACGTTTCCAAAATTCTGACACACCTACCAAGTGAGCTTCAAACCAAGCCTAGAACGCCATCGCGAATTATTTAGATCACTAAAGGTCTAATTATCGAATTAGGCACCTGTAACGTTTTCGTACATCCACTTGTATCTTATGGATTTAATCCAATAAACGCTAGTTAGACTACAGCAGATAGCCAGACTTTGCGGCCAAAAAGCTTTGTCTATACCACGTAGGAATTCACTTCACGGCTGTTCCCAAGTTGTTTCTGTCAAGTGGGCATCCGCATTTTCTGATTTAAATCTTTTAAAATGAACATAAACACCGGAATTCACTTATAATCTTTATATATTGTCTTTTACAAATTATCTGAAAATTGCAGGTTGGGAAGATAAGAAAAAACAAGACATGAACTAATCCTTACATATTTTAACTTGATTTCCTGAATTTTGAAACATAAAGAAGTAATTTTGTTACAAAACTTATTCTTGACCTTTAGAAGTTTAAACCGGAGCTCCGTGCTTAACATAACAACCGACAATCATAATGTTAAGCTGCATGTAAATTTGTACTTTACTCTGTCTGGAAACGATTAGGAATGCATATAGATTGCTAGTTATAACTATAAAGCTGAAAATTAAATTTAGAGGTTTTTTAAAATCACATTCCTGCTTTTGTGTGAAACAACAAAATTAAACAAAAATAAAACAAGATCATTGTTCATTGTTTTCTCATATTGTCCGTATTTGCAAATATGTGTAAATCCTAAAAAAACGAAATAAAACAAGCATTTTGAGAAAAGATGGCTTTAAGAGGAAAGCTTCGAGTTTAAATTGTTTTATTTACCTATTATTTTATTTTATTTCAAAAATATGTAAGCCGCACTTAATTTTTTATATAACATTAAAAATTATAAACTTGGTTCTTGATAATTTTAGTGAAATAAAATGTAGAACAATCAATTTTTGTCTTATGAAATAAATGTGATCAGAATACCATCTTTAACACACACTTTTTGTGACCATATTATTGACTATATTTGGGGTTATATTTGGCAACATTTTGACCCTGTCCACTTTTTAGCAGACGATGATTGAAAAACTGTATACGAGGAATAGATGTAATTTATACCTAAAGTTGTGTGTGGGTCTTTCTGACTTTATTGCCCACACTATAATTTATTTCAATCGGTTATCAAAATACAAGTTTTGTTATTTTCTTCTATTTTATGGCCACATCAATATGCGCACTTTGTACCCACATGAAGCCCCAAAACTGCCCCCGTTCGATCGTTTACTATATTTGGGCAAGTTAAGGAATGCGAACTGCTAATGACGCACAGAATTTGGGTCAAAATTGAACGAAAATGTAAAACAGAAGACTTAGGAAAGTTCTACCTCAAGGAAGTTGTTGAAAAAGATTTGAAGTGCTCTCGTATCACATTGCTTTTTGTCCAAGATAACTTGTTGAGCATGGGCCGATTTCTCGGTGTAAAGGAACACTGTCCCATGCACGAGTATGTAATACTCATTGACTAAAATATTGGAGAAATTTTCAACGAGAACAAAAACAACTAACGCGGGAGAGAAATTCTCCCCTATCCGGTTGCGCTCGATTGCGCTTCGTGGTCCGTTGAGTTCTCCTCGTGGACGATTTCAATGCGAAGAACGCGCTACGGGATTCATTCTACGAAGAGATGAGCTCAAGATAGCAGGCTAGTGAAGGAAGCGCGTTTCGCCCTTTTTGTACATTATCAGAGCAGGACTCTCCCCGCATAGATTTAAGTTCAGTGGCTGGTACACTGACAGCGGGTATCATCATTCGAACTACATTTTCTACTTCTACATTTGAAAGAAGAACATTATTGTCAATCGTCTGAGACGAATATTATCAACGGCTGGCCGAAAACTTATAAAGTTGTAAATCAACCCTCAAGCCGATTTTTTACTCATTCAAGAAAAACTTTATTTTCAAGACCCGGCGTCTTGTTTTTGTCGACCTGGTTGTCGTATTTTACCCGATTTTCGAATAAGCTGAAATTTCTACTGTGAAACGTAGCAGCGAAAACGACCAAAGATTATTTTCAACTCCGAACACTGCCAATTAAAAAAGAAAGTTATGTCGCTACAATTCAGCATTGACAACATTCTGGCCAAGCAGGCCCCAACCATAGTGAACCCGGATCCAGTCGTCCATGCTGCGACCACTGCACCCATGGCTCCATACTTGCGTGCCACTCTGACAGCTGCCGCCGCCGCTGCCTGCGCGCCTTATCAAAGTTCAGCAGCCGCTGCAGCCTGCTATTCCTACTTATATCCTTACACAGCAGGATTGTACTCCTCAAATGGTGAGTTTTTATCATATTATTACACATATCGTCAAATTAAAAAATTATTTTACGTATAAAACGTATAAATTTCTTTTTGGTTTTATTTTTTTTTCGAAAAGTATGAAAATGGCGAATCACGTTAACGATTTAATACTTTGAACAACATTAGCTATGATGATTGGCAAGCTAAACAAAAATGAGTTCTTACAAAATTTCCACCAACGTTTTTTATCTTTTTATCGTAGCCAGCGCTTCTAATTTTGTTGAACGTTTTTCGTAGACAAATAACAAACAACGGACTACCCATTTTAAATTGAGTTCTATCACAAATCATGTTTGAATGGGCGTAATGTGATGCTTTTAAACAAGATTAACTGTTTCGTGTAACTTGAGAAGTATCTTATGTTCGCTATTTGTCGAGCAACCGATGTACTAGAGCGCATAACAGTCGCTGTGCGCAAGAAGTGTTAGGAAAACTTGAGACGATAAATAAATCGACTGAGCGCATACCTTTCTACCACATCATAGTGAGATAACGTGACGACAGACCTTTCCACACATACTAATGGCGTAATATAAAATACCTCATTTTATCATGTCGTATGATGAATATTTTATCAATGTTATATGTATATGAGAGATGAGTTGGGTATTACATACGCCTGGTTTCCGTTTAAAAAAAAAAACTAAATTAACGACCGAAAAAGTAAATAATGATTCACAGAAAAAACTTGAAACCCAGTAATTAGAATGTTTCGCTACGTTATATTAAGTTGCCAATAATAAATCTTATTTTCTGTGGTTACAAATTTATAAAGTTACGATTATCGTCTTATTCGTTTTTTACATACAGTCATTTTTTGCTATTTTTCTGTGGTTACAATTTCATACCGTGATAAACATCGTTTTATTCCTTTTTTTATAAAGTCATTTTTTGCTATTTTTAACTTTGACCCTCTCTAATCCTACCAGCTTTCTCCGCGATTTATGAAAATTTTGTTTTGATCACAGCAGAAACCTCGCCTCAGGCTGTTTAACTAGTTCTAAGTTTTGGTTATTTTTCTTGGAAAAAAATTAAGCGCTTCACGGCGAATTCGTGCCAACTACAATCTCTTTGAATGAAATTTGTCTTTGTTGGTGTTTGTTGATTTTAAGTATTACTGTCTTATAATGATCACAAATTAAGCAAAAATAATTTTTATAAGTTTGAATTTTTAACAAAATTAAAATCTTGTACTATATGTTATGTAACTTTATATTTTGGATGGAGGTAAAATGAATCAATTGCGCTTCGGGTCGGAAAACTTGTTCTGCATATTTGTATTTCGCGATTTAATTTGTCAAGGACACGTTGTCGTTTTATAATAAAGTATCGCAATTTAAATTTTAAAGAAAAATAGCAGACGACGGTTTTACCTACAAACTGAGTGTCTATTACTTTTTAGCAACTTGGTCTCATCTTATGAATCATTTTAATCCGTTTACAATTTTGAATCACGAAGTACCGTTTCTCCGAGATTTAAGAGGTTAAATAATACCCTTGATTGTATGGTTCATGAAGGGAGATGTTAGTTAAAAAATAAAAGAGGAAAAAGAAAGCAAATCGCTTCTCCCCGCCCACGCTGTTTTAGATGTGCAATGAAGCGATTTTTTTGTAAATTTTGATTTTTTTGTGAAAAATTCTACGAGCAGGGTTTTTGCTGAAGGTACATCCCTCCTCATTATCGCTTAGTTCATGTGTGTTCATTTACATAGCAATTTTGCACGTATATATAGTTGTTTTAGGTATAATCCTATTAAAATCTATTAACTGTTTATACCACACAAGCGGTCGAAGGAATAATAATGAATGAATTATAGTGCGAACGTAAACAAGGAATTAATCGATTCTGTCATTCAAAAGAAAATGTATAAACAAATGATCCTTTATGTTCTAACAAATTATGTATAATACCCTCCTCTATAATTGTAAGAAATCCGATCGCGAGATCGCAACTTATTTCACAATAGCCAGAGTTGGCTTTTCGAGTGTGCGAGACGCGTAAACTTACTTTAATAGTATTTACTGTATATGTGGCCCATTCATGTTTATATTTAATATCGTTTTTTTGATTCAACCTGTCTCTTTGCTTTTCTTTTTTTTTCGTTTTTTCTCCCACTTCAAAATTTGGAAAGAATTTTCGTGACGGGGCTTTCTTCTAACTTTAAGTCTCTCCGGACGATTACATCTTAAAAGTGTTGATTTATTATCCGATAAGACGAGATTTTTGCGTGAGAATTGTAAACTGACTAAGCGCTAAAAAGTGAAAATTTATTAGAGAATGGGAACGCGGCGAAAGATCAAAAGCGTAAATACCGTCATTAAATTTATTTTTTTAATCTTAATCCATTTTGCTAAATCCTGAAAATGGACGTAAATCGTCTTTGTGATTCGCCGCCTATTTATTGCTGTTCCACTTTTAATTTTTTGTGTAACTTTTTAATGATAATATTTTCTTAATGTTTTTTCTATTTATCTTTTCAAGTATTTCGGTAATATGAAACTTGATCTTATCCAAGTTGTGTTTTTCAAAAAAAATCCGATTTCTTTTTAAGAAGTTTATGCGTGTTTTTTTTAATTTTTTTTGTGTAACTACCTTGGAAATATGTAACCATTACGTCATTTGTTAATGGTTTCGTTACATCGTGTTGTAAAATTTCGAAAAAACATCGATTTCTCTACTCCAATTTGTAGTATATAAATATGATCGATGATTTTCGACCACACGTAGATCTAATTCAAAAACCAAAGAAACGCGATTTACGCAAAACAAGTTTGTGGCGGAATAAGTGGATGGAAAGACCATTTAATAATATTTTGCCCATTTACCGCTTTATTTTTGTAGTTTAAAATATATAAATTCTAATTATTTAATAATGTATGCATGAAATTTTACAACACCGTGTAATGTGGATAATAAGCGCTTTTAAAAGTTATTTCTCTGGAATTCCGTTATAATACGTTTAATTTGAAAAAAAACATCATGCCGCCATTTTGTTCTGTTGCATTTATCAGTTTCGTTTTGTCGATTCGGCATAAATATTAAGTGTGAATAAAACTCAAAATAACTCTAGTTTAAAAATTCAAGTCAAGGCGGATACAATAAATATTCAAAATGAAATGCTTTTATTTTGTAAGCATCGCGCGAATGCATATCATCAGACAATAATGGCGATGCTGTCTTTAAACAATCTTCAATGTACAATCTATCAGAAACAAAACAAAATGTTTAAATCCGTTTTAAAATAGAACGGAACCCATTTTAAAAAAATAATATTAAATAGAATAAAATTGCTTTTCGTATATAATCTTCGATTGAAGGAGCGGTAATGCATTCGCTGATGGATCCGTGATAGCGAGCTAATTCGTGAACTGTTACGGGCGATTTAGAGCTTACGGCTGTCCACTTTACGTATCCATCTACCCTAAGTAAATAGTAGATAAGTTCAATATAGAAACGAACCGTAATGACAAAATCTCATTCCGATGTGTTTTTCATATTTCGGCCAAACATGAACGTAGGTTAATAGACGTAATATAAGCAAGTTTCTTGCTTGGTCCGTACATTTTGCTGAAGCATTTTTTAATCATTGGTTTATTTGTCGAAATGCCGACTTCATTTATTTTTATTGGAAATGACTGTGCTTAGAGTACTTTATAGATACCGACATTTATTTAGATGATGATACCTTTCACTTACTTCGCTAACTTTAAAGTTATTTTATCCGAAATTAAATTTTAATCTCTATCATCAGCGTTTTTATAGCATATACTTGGTCATTATTTGGATACTATTATAAACGTAATAAAATCATACACATTTTTGATCTATTCTCAACAATTTAGTTTAACGGCACTGTACTCGCAAAATAAATATTTTCAAGGATTCTTTGTTCAACATTTTTTAAAACTAAAAATGGTCCCAATTTAAAAAAAATCACGATATTTTTCCTTCGATATCGCGGTTCAATCCGCTTCTTATTAGCAATCTAGCGTGACACGTAGACGCCGTGGCGCCCTTTTGGTTCTTTATCCCAACCCCCAGTGACACTGCTACCCCCAAATGACAATACCCGGAAGCTTATTCTTGGCGATAAAAGAGAATTCTTCAAGGATGGATTATGATTTTTGTGTATAAAAATTTTTGAAAGTATTTTCAGTAAGCGTAACGTAAAGCTGACAGGTATTATTACGTTTTTATTAACCCATTGGGGTCAGCTCAAAATTCAGCTCGACGTTTGAGTAAATTCTGAATTAAATTCAAAATTTCTTTCCCTTTTTGGCGTAACGGTACGACGCCTAAATATAAACACTAAGCACGGTATAACTGTTTAATTAATATAACGAACCTGCGGTTTTATAAAAGTCATTTTAGGACGCGTTGAAATTCATTACCCAGAGCTAAATCTATTCCGAGTTAGAGCTTCGTCTTATCGTGGCATTCCCGACGCCGTCATCAGCAGGTTTGGATGAGCTAAGATCGAAATTATATCAGTATTTGTGAAATCATGATCAACAATGGAAATGTTAGCGTGAGGCATTGTTAAGATTTTCGGTTTTGATTAATTAAAAGTTTTTAATATATTAGTAATACCGATTCTAGGTAATTCAACTAGTTTTCAGTTTTCAAAGAACCAACTATCTCGATTATGATATTATTAATATGACTAGAAGCAGGATTCAAATTGGACTTTTTCAATGAATTTACCGCAAGATTAAGCCATAAAAAATTCATTTCCGCATGGACTAAAATCAGTAAATTTCCCAAGTTGCTAATAGCGTCGGACATAACAATATTACTGTCATAACGTGCTGTATATCACTATTGCTCAGCATGGAAGTGAAAGTCATCGAAAGTTGAAAGTTAATCGAAATTTAAATGATGAAGACAAAACTTTTATGTGGTATAGTTTGATTAGTATTACATCCTAAAACTTAAATTACAATCAGTATCTATTTTGAACAATGTCGAAAGAGTCATTTCACTATATGCGAGATTGATTTTATATTAGTTAATATCATTAACAGAATAATAAAACGTGGACTGAATCATAGGATCCCGTGCAATGTTCTTGTCTGCTAAAAAAGTTGAACTTTCAATGAAATTGGACGACATTTTAATTTTTTTATTGTATAGTTGCATCCTTCTGCTATTATATATACTATTTACATGGAAAACGATTTATTCCCACGGCCTAATTAAGCGATAATTAAAAATTATTCAAAACTACCGGATGATGAAACACAATACTATTTTATTCCAATTCCGAATAAGAAAGGACCCCAAATGCGTGTACAATCACCGTTTATTCTTAGCTATGAATTGGACTATTATAGAAATGATCCACCAATCCCTTCTACACAATACTAATTACAAAATTTATTTGATAATCGTTCGGTAATCGAAAATTAAAGATGGACATATTGTCAAAATTATGATCAAGTCGTGGCTAATCACCCTATTATGTACATGGACTAATTGTATTCAATAGACAACGCCTTATCCGGAACATCATGACGTATTTTTGCACGTGAAAGCGAAGTTTGTATGGAAGCGTGTTACCGTAAAATCTAACAATTCCGAAAAAAATCCGTTACTTATTGACTACTATTAGGGCTTACTCAATTAAAAGTTTCATTACGCTATTTAATGCATTAAGTTTTGAAAAAAACGTATAAACTGGAGTGGGTATTCAGTTGTTGTCGAATTTGATTTCCAAGGGCATATTTAAAATTAAAGTCGTTTTAGTCTGTCCTGCTTGTACTAAAATCGCGACATTTCAAATTGTTTCTGTCTTTTATCCATGGCAAAAACTTGGTATTATATCTCAAAAGTACATTACTTTTTGAGCAAGAAGTTGAGCTTTCAGTGACCTGACATTATCCAGATTGCATGAAGGATTTACCGTAACGATTTTTCCTCAACTACTTGTAATAGAAGTATAATTTGGCGATCGTCGTCTGCCAATGACGTCAGATACGCTGAAGATAAAATCATATTTTTATCATTGAAAAAGTTTACCTTCAATGTTAATGTCAAAATTGGAAATGATCATTTAAACATGGCCATCGGTGGGGTGTATGATAAACAATACATTTAAATAGCGTTCATGTAGAGGGCTGTAGAAATAAGACAATGAAAAATGACAATGAAAATTTGGAAAATACTTTTATTAATTTTATAAATAAAAACTGATGAAGAATCGAATTTAGCTAGGAAAAAAAAAACTTAACCTTGCAATTTGAATATACCAATAAGACGGAAATTTTTCTCCTCAATTTACCCTCAGTAACTACCATTGAAATAAGCGAATATCGGAAAAGGTTAATTTCAGGTAGCTCATAATATTTCCACCATAATCAATGGGAATTTTCGTGCTTACAGAGGATATTTGATTCTACTACGTAGCAAAAAAAATGAATGTATTGTTTCGACAGTGTTCGCAAAATTTAAAAATTTTTCCTAAATCTATAGCTACAATGCTTTTGTCGATCCGTGTTAGAAGCGCAGTCCAACCAACGCGCTAGCTTGCCAGAAATCGTAACGTTACATTATCAGTCCTTTTTATACTACGCATTTAAACTGCTTTCGTTTCCAACAAGATTCTATAAAAGCCGTCACTGCTGGGTAAGGAGCTACTATAGATTGGAAGGCTCGGAATTTACCCCCGTTCCGTATTGCTTACCCAATTATCACACCTGGGTGAGGAAGTGGGGCATGGGATTTGAACTCTAGATTTCATCCTGCGATTTATTGTAATTTTCACAAACTTTAAGTCAATCGCAATCAATATAAAATATTACACAATAAATATTGAAAATAAGTAAATTTGTGTTATGGTTTTTGTTCCAAAATGATAACCTATAAATCAGAATAAGCATGCCTAGTCTTGTTTATAATCTTTTTGTCTCGTTGTGGTCTTCAAACTTGTCTGCCGTTTTTCAACGATGATTGAACTTGGTTTCCGTTTTGGATGTTTTTCTCTCATATTGAGGATTGATTACGTCTGGTTTAGCGAAAGATTGCATTCGGTCAACAAAAAAAAACGTTTTTTTCTTATGTTTATTGAAGTTTAAATACTTAAATCGTTATTTAAGATCTCATTCGCCTCTCTGCGGTCTGGCGCTGGAATCGATAATTTGATAGCTTATTCGAATATCAATTTTTTAATGTTGTTTTATACATTTTTTGATTTGATCTTATCGCCATATAATTAAATTAAAATTTCGATATGTGGATCATATCTAATGAAAGAGTTTGTTCAGAATCAGTGGTGAACGGTCGCCATTTTTAGTCCAATTCAAGATTCAGATTCTTCAAAATTTTATCTACTGATTCTCGCATTTTTCGCAGGATAACTTTTAGTCTGAGTCATTTTTAGAAGGCAAAAGCGAATAGAATTGCACCATCGCTGTGAAATATTGTCTCTGTCTTAATACTGCTGACTTAAATTTACCTCCGTTGGAGTGTTGAGATTTTAGTGTTGACTTTGCCAACTCATATTGATAAAATTTTATCCCTTTCAAATGACATGATATTTGAATCATGTATGTATTCATGTTTTTGAAATGTTTAGTTCGTGTTTTAACTAAAGGGATTTCCCAGTGTAGTTGCCTATGAAACGTACTCATGGCCACGAACAACGTGAATTAGTTATATACGGTTTTCATTCTAATGTATATAAACAAAAATTATTCTGTTTACAGTTGTACCTGCAACTTTCCTCTCCCCGTACGCTTTTGCCGCGGCCGCAGCCGCCGCCACCGGAAGCCACGTTGCTCCTTCTGGAGTTGGACCTCTGCCAGCTGGCCCGCCGGGATTTTTCTACCGACTTCCGGCCAAACGCAAGCGCCGTCATCGCACAATCTTTACCGAAGAGCAACTGGAATCCCTCGAAAACATGTTTCAGAAAACCCATTACCCCGATGTGGTCATGAGGGAACAATTGGCTGAAAAAGTGGATTTGAAAGAGGAACGAGTTGAGGTAGGTGCTATAAGGGTTAATTGATATTTTTGTGCAGCAGGAAATAACAGGGCGAATTGGTTGCTTACGTATAAAATTGTCGCTGAAATCCGATGTCTGTAAGAGTAATCGAAGTTCTCAAAAACTTTAATACGTTTGTATTTTTATATCGTATCAATTTTATCTTCTAAGATTCCATATCATAATTTTTGAATATTTTACAGGTTTGGTTCAAAAACCGTCGTGCAAAATGGCGCAAGCAGAAACGCGAGCGGGAATTGATGTCAGCAGAAACAGCCAGCAGTGGATCTGCCGCTAATGATCATCCACCTTCCAGTCCGGAAGATGCAGAAAAGAGGTATGAATTCAAAATAACCTACTGTCTCACTCTTTCCCCATTTCCCAAATACCAATTCAGTTGCATCGGAATAAATTATGTTTTAGATACTAGGCTAGGTTAGGTGGTACTTGCAAATGGACTTAGAATTTGATTTTATAATTTGCAGGTGTCATTCACCCTCCAGTCGATCCGACAACAGCGTTAGTCCCGGACCACGCTACAACACCCCGAGTAGCGTTTGCAGCGCCGACGAGTTGGAATACTTGGCACATGGCCATACTGGTAGATCCGTCATCGTATCTGCGCCCGAACTTCGCGTCGCAGAATAGACGAGCAGAGGAGAAAGATAAAAGAAGATAGAAGGCAGGAGGAAATGAAACAAAGAGTGAGAAGATGGTGCAAATTGTGACTTGCTCGAAACAGGACCAAATTAAATTATCACTATTACGTTATAGCGTTTCCAAATTTTAGACCTCGCAAAAATGATCGAACAATAACTGCTTCCTTGCTAGTATAACTATTGTAATTCAAAGCTACATATTATGTGAGGCACTGAGATTTAAAAAGTTCAAAACAGAATGATATCTCGCATTCCCCAATTGCCAAAATTATCGTTTTCCCAATTTGCGTTGTTTTTTCGCTCTTTTCATTGTAAATAGCTCGCATACTGCCACTTCGTCGATCCCTTATTTGTATTTTGTCCTGTTCGCGTTACTTTCCATGTGTCGTACACTTTGGGGTCGGCGATTCCACTCACCATAACTCTGTAACCTTTTATCCCATTAGCATTGTCTATACGCAAGTCGTAAGGCACAATATTAATACTTATTATGATATTTTTTTCTTTTGTCCCACCGGCATTGATTGTCGCGTTTTTTATCCCTTTTTTACAAATTATATAGAACTCCCCTCTGGAAGGGTAAAATTGCTCCCGCGTCCGGGCCGACGCATTTTTTTTTACTTTTTGATGTATATATGTTGTGTGTATACCCGTATACTAACCCAGCATAGAATGGCCATATAGTGATAATATGTGAAGTAATTGTTCATCCATTTTGAAGGTATGTGTTTTGTGTTATAAGAAGTGATTAGTGGAGTTACACCTGTTGCCATTGGGAGCAAACTTTTTATCCACATATGACGGCCTCGTTTTTAATGTACGTATAGTTCATTATTACATCACAAGTGCTTTGCACGCTATATTCGGATTAGCACCAGGCATTAGCATAAGCCACAGGGTCTGGTTACTTGAAATTTTTTTTATATTTTTTGACCCCTTGCTGAACGTCTACGTCATATTCCTTTGAATAACCGATCGCTTCAAGGTTTGAAGTATAAAATTTTGGTCTGGGGTTAAGAATTTTCTTCGTAATGGGTGAAAATTGATATCAGTGACCCGTGTTGATGCGATACTCGTTTTACCTAATGACAGTATTAACGTCTTTGTTGGTATCAGCGGTCTTGGCCGTTTTTCAGTTGATAATCCGACACCGAAACATTCCACGCTTTATCTCATCACATTTCTTCAATTAATTAAAACTAAGAAGAAGTTTTTGCGTGACAACAAAATAGGATTAGTCTAATACCGGATGTACCAAAAATCGCTTGACTTGCTATCTAAAATAAACTCGTAAAATCAGCTTTACTTTGTTTATTTTAATGAATTTAGGCGAAACCCAGTAGAAATACCTCGAAATTAGCTTCCATGTAAAGTTGTGTTTTGGTTGCCGGAATAAAATCGCACTCCAGCGAACTCGATTTGGAATTTCCATTACTATCAAGCGATAAACCTTCCCGCAGATTTGTTTTGTAAATCACAGTTAGCCAGGCCCAAAACGTGTTAAAATGTCTTCCGCGTGCTGTCTGTATTTTTGGCCCTCGCTCGACTTGGGTTCTAGCTATTTCAATGTGAGAAAATTTTCATGGTTAATCGCGAAAGCGTAATCGAGCGAATAAACAAGTTTCCTTAGGCCGGAATAAAGTTATGGGCGTTCCTTTTATAAATAAACTCGAAGAAAATTTCACAAAGAGACCAGACTATTCCGTGGTTTTGGTTACCGCTAACTTTGCGAGGACTGGGATTAAGTGTAGCGAACAAAAGCCGTATTGTGCGTAATCTCCTCTAAAATGTGTGACGATTATTGGCTAGCCATCTCGCGCGCTTATTCACGCGGAATGCAACGTTGAAAACCATACTGGAAATCTCTCAATTCTCAACGGCGCAAGAAAATACTGGTTGTAACCGGTTCTCAAACCGCCCTGTTTATTCGTTAAGTCGCTCGATCAAGTAAACTATTTGGCACAGGTAGCTGCACTCTTTAAACATTCAAGTTTGATAAATGCGATATAGCGCTATGTTTATTAAATTTATATTGCGCATTATAAAAAATGCATAATGATATTGTACGGCACATCCTTTTACAAATTTTTGATTCTCCCATAGGTAATTTGTAAGTAATAAGTACTTGCCTACTTATCACATGATATATTTTAGTTGACGATTGAGGCCTCCAATTAAATTAAAACATAGCGAGCATAAAGGTTATCAACCAAAAGGCCATCCAAGTTTATGCATCACATATCGGAAGCTGTAATCACTTATAAAAGACATAATAATCCACAGAGGGGGAAGCTTGGCTACAAATTGCATTAGCCAAACAAACAGATTACTTCACACTTTAGAAGCGCACTGACACTATTAAATTATTAAGTTTTATATTTCGAAGATGACGCTTTTTGATCCAATCATCTAAACCCCATGGGCATATTTATTCTATCTGTGCGTGGGAGAGGATACGCCATGTTATAATGTCGACAACGGGCGTAATTCGATATTTTATTAACTTATTAAATTTGTTGAAAGTTTTATTCATGGCAGCGCGGTCAACTTGGACGTGTTACAGCACTAGCTGTTAAGAAAATCAGTAAATTGTTTATACTTGAACGGTTATTCATGATAATATATTAAACAAACGACTTTTAAAATTGGATTTAAACTTCAGTTTCTAAGTAGAAAATCATTTTCGATGTTTTTCATCGAGTGTGTCTGATATCGGATGATGTTCTCTTTTTGGAATGATAAGTGGTGATTTTCGTGATACAAGTTTTTGATGACTTATTTACTGTCTCGTCAAGTCAGAAAGTAATTTTAAATCCACGCCCTTTGAGCATAGACTAGTTTCCATGTAACATATTTAAAAGCAGGCTAATGACAGATAAAATCCTCGAAAACCGTTCGCGTATCTTCACAGTTATCATTTTGTTTCTTTATGTTATTTCACGCGAAATAAACAAACAAGATATTTCATTTCTCCTCTGGGGAGAAAAGTCAACGTTAGTCCAATCATCGGCTTTACTTAATTCCTTCGCAGCTAAGCTTAACTGAACCACAAAATATTTTAAAACGTACTGTCGATCAAATCGGTGGCCAATATAGAAGTCTTCGTTTGATTTGCTTGTACGGATCGAAATATACACAAGGTTCTAATCAGCTAATGTTGAGTTAACGGAGTGCACTACCAAAACACAACTAATTTAGTGTCGGATAATTTAACGATATAAACTTTATTTTACGTTTACTCGGAGTTTATACTTAAAGCTTATTAAAAACGCTTCGTTTCGCGCTGTTGGATACAAGGGGTTAGCCAGCCGTCGACCCTCCGATCCCATTTCGCTTGCTCATCACGCGAGCATAGGCGATGAGCCGTAAAAATTGCCTTCTCGCTCGCAACGGCACAGCCCGCAGCTTAGTAGAACGCAAAACATTTTGAACTTCTTCAATTTTAGTGCGCTTGTTAGACAAAGAGAATCGAAGCGCTTCTAAAATTCAAATGGTTTCGGTAAACAAATTGGATTCTGATTAGTACAATAATACCAAATAAAAACGGTATTTTGAATGTTAAAATAGACATCTGGATGATAGTCGGTTTTCATACATGAGCAGTCCTTGCAATAGAACTTGATAAACAACAGCAACACAGACCCTTTGTAGTAAATTTCCCACGTAGACATCAAACGCATCAAAGTCAATAACAGTGGAGAAAATTATTAGTCACAAACAATATAAATGATCTAATAAACTAAAAATAGTTGCGAACAACAGTTGCTTTAAGATAAATCCATTTGAGTATAAAATGACCCGGAAACCGACCGAGTATCGCATTTGCATTGAGAAGGTATCGAATTTTCACCCATTCCTGGTATCCCATTTCGGACCCACTATCAATACCCCCTGTCCAGTTTGAGTACTTCTTTATTTTTTGTTATCAACATATCCATCTCGATTTTCGTACGGTTTCTACCATTCAAGCCATTGAAATTTTATCATTATCCCAAAGAACAGTTTTTGATTTCTAGAAAGAAACAATCAAAAGTCACTATTTTTCTCATTAGTATTACCACACGTTTCCATGAAAATACTATCTGCGTTAACTGCGTAATTTAGTTTATTAAAATAGGTTATAATGCTCCAAAACTGTTTATGACGAAATAAACTCGACGAAGAGCTCACATTTCATTGGTCGAAAAAACCTCCAAAAGTAATTTTCAAAATATCAGACCGATTTAAATGGAATTTATAATAATAATTGTGATATTTTGATTCAAATCAATAATCAGAAAAAAAGTATCCAGAGAGGCCAGCTTGGTGAAAAAGGGTCGTTGATAATAAATATACGTATGCATGCGTCGAATGGTAGATGGATATTTTGAATGGTTTAAATACTTTTTTGCTTATTTCATTTTATCAGTTATTTCTGTGAATGTTCCAATATCTTATTAATGATACTAAAATTCATCGCTACCAAAATCATATTTCTAAGCTGTTATAAATTGTACATCTAAGTGAAATTTTCTGATATTAGTGTCTGCCTAATATCAGTGTAATTTTATTTAATTGTACAAATTTTCTAACAGTCGTAATTATTGTAATAAGTTTCATTTTCACGCATTCATTTTACACGTTGGTTTAAGTTGCCGCTATTAGCCTAAGCATCAGTATGAACAAAAAAAAAATTCAATATTTTCAGAATGTTTGGTTCCTAGTTTGCATATTTCTCTAAAGCAGATTTAGCTCTGGTGTTATAGCGACTATTTAAATCAACTTGCTTGCTTTGTATAAAATGTGTATCGCGTATCATCCTACCTTCTCTATTTTCATACATCCGTTATGAATTGTTCCAATTTTTCGGGTTTAAGAGAAACTAAGTGTAAAGTTACACTTTGTTTCACAGGCATCAATTCGTATTTTTATATACTCAATTTGTATAATTTTGTTTTTGAACGTAACAAATGATACCGGGTATCATCATAGAATAATAAAAATAATTTTATTTGCTGGCCAAATCACTATTTAAATTATATAGTGCTGCTACGTCATTTGAAATGACACCATTTTGTAATTTTGTCTGCCAGTCAGCCATTGTGAAACCACTAAAATATTTCATGTATAACAATTTATATTTCGTTTTCTATTTGGATGGAGCATCCCCGTTAAGGAATCTGTCTTACTTGATCCCTATTTCTTGCCCGAACGAAAAAGTTTCTCAACTAATGCTTTGTTGTTGTTTGATATTGTTGGTATAATTTGATTTGTTCATGCTATTACTGCCTGTCATTTTGTTTATTCTACAATTAATCAAGATCTCATTATTATCGTCATTTAATTTTGATTGGATATTCTAACAACGAATAAAATAAATCAACGGTTTCATTAACCCTGTGTCAGTTTGGTGTTTGATTCAATATGGACAAGGACTGGTATGCTCGGCAATGGGACAAGCAATCATTAAGTTTGAAGTTTTAGTAACAATTAAGTAGAGAAGTTCAAAAACAATCTAAAGCAAGGTTGTGCGACATTATTTATTAGCGGGTCATATAAACGATTTCAGACATCTAGCTGGGTTACACAAAAAGAGGAGAATGCGGCTATCGCTCAGCGTTACAGTGATAAAGGCATTGGGCCAAACGGCGAAAGATTTACGTAGCGACAAGACGAAAAAATATTATGTATTTTTACTCGCGTTAGTCACTTTTTAAACATAACCTGTCGGAATAGGATTGTATTGTTGAGAGGAAAAATCTGAGTGTTGACAAGGGCCACACTAAAAGGCTATGACCCGCGGGCCGCCTGTTGCACAACCGTGATCTAGAACAAACATAAACGCGCTTTTTCGATAGATGGTCTGATCGTATACACCAAACGCGCCACCATAATATAGTTTAGACCAGCACCGCACACATTATATCCGCTCGGCATGGCTTGGTCTTTCGAATGCTTCTAGTTACTTTATTACTATTACAAAAATAAAAGTAAACGAAATATATATGTTAAAAAAGTTCTGTATTTGGATTTATTGAGTGACGTTCCTAGTGAGAAAAATGCTTATATTTGTGCTGAAATTTGTGGCACCATACTCCACATGATCACAACGCATTTTGAGGAGTATCCTATTAGCACAATCATGCATAACGAAAACAATTTCGGGTGCATTTACTCGTAAGGCTCAATGTAACACCAACACGTATTGCTGAGATACGTTTTCACTGTGTTTGCGATCGCCTGCACATAGGTGCTACTAATTTAGGTATTAAATTATAAAAGTTCGTCCACTTTTTTGTTAAGGGTTGTAAATATCAACAGCAATCGGTGGCAGTCTCGACTAGCTCCATTTCAAATGACGACTGGCTCATCACGGCAAAAAGATAGTGTGCTTCCTGGACAAGGGTGGCTTGAAGATTAGAATAGTGGCTCACGGTCGCCCTCAAGTGAACTGACGTGCTCTATATTACTGTACTTTGAAAACAGTAGAGTAATTCTCAAATATATGAATATGAAGGTCGCGCATCGACATCAGTATGCCGTACTCGCTGAAAGAATTGCAGAACAAGACGGTTGAGTAACAAGGAATTAAAAGTTGTTTTTTTTTTAATCAAAAAAGACCAAAATTTTTGGTGGAATATTAAGAACTCAGAAGAAATGTAAAATATGAAAGTTTACCGTTGGCAAGTGGCGAAACGAACAATCGCTCCCTAAAAGTAAGTAAAACATTTAATCTACTTTTCTTGTGATTATGTGATATTTTCCTGAGTTGTTCGGTGAACCCTACTAATCGCTGACCATTAATCCCGAAACGCCACTTGCCGAAAATGAAGGAGGCGCGAAGAATTATGAGCAACCTTATGAGGGCGTGTCGAGTAAAAGCTTGAGAAGAGCTGATTTATTCACTAGGGTTGGATTAGTTGAGATAAGAATAAGCACTTCCTTTTTAAGTTTTAGTGCTAAACTAAAGCATTTATTTTTGTTATTAAATCGAATTCCTCATTGAATTATCAAATATTAATACAGAAATCACGGCTAATCAAATGTATGATAAATCTATTTATAAATAAATAAATGACAATACAACGACCACCTCCTGAAAAATTTACGCCCCGCGTGTCTCAATTGTTTCACTTACAGAGGCTGCATTTTATAGTAGTGTTTTAAATTTTCTAAACGTTCAATAAAGCGCAATCTTGGTTTGAAATGACGCATTTCTCAATTCCATTATTTTCGAATATTTAGTATTGTTCATCGAGTGAATAGCTTACTCATCAATAAAAAGACATATCCTGGCAGCGACCAATGAGCTTCCATGGAAATGCAATAGAAATAATTTAATTTTTGCTCGTGACCTCCCCTTAGCCTTTCCAGCCAGAGGAGCTCAGTAGTGGGTATAGTGAATTCTATCGCTTTTTGTAGATGGCAAACACTTGGTAAATTTATAATCGCGTTCCAGACTAAATCCTCCAAATCTCAAGCAAAGCATAAATTATTGAACTTGAACAAACTCTAAGATTCGTCGCGAATAAAGAAGTTTCAGTATAATCGTTCTTGGTGTCTTTTTCTAGCGTACATTTGGAAAGATTATTACATTAATCAGAAGTGCGATAATTCAATGCAGCAAAGTGAGGATAGTAACCTTCAACATGAAAATATTTGTTGGCAGTAGAAATTAATAGAGCCAAATGATCTTCCGAAGGACACCTAGTATAAAATGTTAGACTATCGAGCACGTGTGGCGGGATTTCTACAAGAGGTATACACACCAAGATCCATTCAATGGGACAGTTAGAGTTAGGGTATGCTCACAAGCCAAATTTTGACACCGCAACTCATCATCAAAATTACTCCCGGGTTTCTAAACTGGGAGGCGTGTGTACAATAACTACGAGAACCCAATCACTTTTTGATTTGCAAATTCTAAAAATTTCAGAATACGATTTGGACTTAACTAGCCTGTTCCATAATATAGGTTTCTTAATTTGAGCAATAGACCTATGCCATTATTCGTGTTCATCACATAGCCTAGAATGAAAGGTGTTTATCTAGCTAGATATATTATTAGCTGTGGCATGCATCCCAGTTCTACTTAGTTTCAAGGTTATTTTGATTTGCTCTTTTCACTCGACCACATTTGCTAGATCAGTACATAATTTACTATTCTATTGACAACGCAACAGTTGAACTTGATTGTTTTTGATAAAGAACATTATTCAAGGCCCCCATAATTTCTATAGAGTGGCAAGCAAGCTCAACTCTCAAGCATGAGCCTGAGTTCAAGACGAGAAATAAAAATTTATTTATTCGTGGCTTCAAAGTTGAAATTCAAAATTGGAATAGCCAAATCAATTAAATAGCGGTGATCATCATTAGCGTCGCGGGAATACCTGTTCTTAAATGCTGATTGTTAACCTTTTACACAAGTGGGTTGTCTCGGAGTTATCTAGCCTTAATCAGATTTCAAATATTTCAAAAGGAGGAATCTACACAAAGTTTTTTTTCGGAATGATTCGTTGTTCGTTTAAGTTGGATACAGTATACGAACGCCATGCGCATGGTTCTCTTCCAGTCGATGATTAGTGATGACATAGGAACAAAACTGTTTACCTATCAAATAAGCATTGAACGGGACCATTGTCTATTGGGGTGTGAAAATATCTTGCCCTGATCTGCAGAGGTGTGGCGCTCAATATTTACTGAAAAAAGACTGAAGCTAGAAATAAAACAGTGAGACACTAAATATGTAATATATTACTACTACTATGTGAAAGGTCTGTTAGAGTTGAATTCCGAGTAGAGGTCCAATTGCCTACCTGCGTATATTTCCCTAATTTTGTCTCTTTAATATTTAGGGTTACTAAAAACCGCAGATGAATAACTTAACTTTTGTGACTTTCCTGAGGCAGTACTCGAATCGCAATGCACGACTGACCATCACGATAAAACAAAAAAGTTATTTGGCTGTGATCAATTAAATATACGTGTTTCCAAGCGCGCGAAGTCTATCAAATGTGTCGAGGACGAAAAGGGAAACCAGACACACGAACCGTGACACAAAACCTCTGCAATCGATGTCACTAATGTATGACAGACAAAATTCTATTCACGAACAAAGTATTGTAGACCAATAGATAAGAGATAGATAGTTACTAGGAGTGTTTTACAGAAGTTTTTTCTTGAGCTGAAAAGACAATATTGAGTAGGTTTTAAATTTTGAAAGATAATTGACAGAAACTTTTTAGCAATGAGGTATTGAGGAAAAGAGTTTCATGAATACCGACCTATTGGCGTTTTCGTTATTGGGAACCGAACAGTTGAATGAATGAATGGTTTATATCGGTCAATGAATTCTCCCACTTAAATTAGCTGAGTTCTGATTAATGGACACGATGTGTACATGTGGCATGTTTTGCTAAATTGTTACTGTAGTTATTTATTATTTTTTCAAAAACAAGTTTGCTGTTTTCTTTAATTCTGGGGAGCCCCGACTTTGTTCGGACATTCGATCTTCGTGTCCATATATGACTATCGCTCTCTTGTATTTCATATCTGAAGTTTTGGCTTGTGTAAAGGTACATTGAAATGTATACTTTTGCTTTTGTTATGGACGAAAAAGTGGTCGCTATAGTCAAAAGCAATATTTTTTATAACTGCTTATTTTAAATGCTTATTTTTTTAACTGATTTTCGAGGTAGATAGTGTAAATCAAAAAGGGGGGATATAGTATGTTTAACTGTCCCTGTACATCTGGTGTTCACTGTGAAGCAAAGTACAAATATAATCGGTTAATCATGTTATCGCGATGCCACTTATTTTTTAATATTTCTTTGAGTCTGTTCATTTTGATAGATTACTATTATTTTGGTTAGCAGAACGGTACTCCCAATGTATGTGTACCAGGTTAGGGTTAGGCCATGGTTTTATTCTGATTTTTCTTATTTTAGTTATAGAACGAGTTCGGGGACTGTCTGTGTTAGTCAAGTGAATATACCCCCTGTCCATAGGTTTCAGTCCTTTAACACAACTTGTTGTAAAGTGGGCAAACAAAATTAGTTACCTTCAAATTAGTACATACACTTCTTGAGCGCCTGCAGAACTACTAGACAACATAAGATGAATAGAGAAAGTTGTGACAATAACCTAACCGCATATAAACAAATCAAAGAATATTAGTGATGGGGCAATGACATAATAGTAACCAAGCCCGCTATCTAAGAAAATCAACTGTCAATCGAAGTAATGACGAACTGCCAACGCATCATTGGCCGAGTCCAATGAGAATACTCTGCGATTAATTTGCTGAATTAAGTGTGGATGTGCGTGATAGCTTGCATATTTGTGACGACTTTTGAATATTCTCAACAAATATTACCCCTGAATGATGAACCGGCCCAGCTTCCCGGCAAACGTAAGCAATGTTGTAACAGTAGATTTTAATCTTTCATACTGCCATTGGTCAATGAAATAACACAAGACACGCCTCCTGAGTTTCGCTTGCGTAACTTGTCAAACATCTAAGTTGCTCGTGATTGAAAACCCACGCAATAAAATTTTACACATATATATATAAGTGGGTGAGGACGTAAATTATGCACTTGTCTGTTTCTTATCTTCTAAAGTATTCTATCACAATGTTCACGGAAGCTGAATATGAGCATAAAACCCAAAATAATGCAGACATCAACTTATGTAGGTTATGGGTCAACACGCCTCGAAGGGGCGAAATTGACTCGTCCGTCGCTCTTCGATTGCGAAACTTTCTGTTTTTGGGCGCTGGTAATCATGTTTTCTGAAAGCGCGGCTGTCTTTTCTCAAAGTCGATCATGTGTAAATTTCTCATAACCTTGTTCCAGCTTCGGTCACTGTACGCATATATTTCGCGAGTCACCCACCCACTGTGGTATTCTATTATTCAGTCACGTGTACGGGTTTTTGCGTCAACTGTATTTTGTCTCGAAGGTTGGGTTGTTACATGTCTCACAGATATTCCTATCATCTACGAAGCGCGTCATATAACAAATATTTACATACTTTCAGTGTAGTTCCGTTGACTAATTGCCCAGCGTTTACTTCGAGCGTTTGAATGAATGGCTGTGGGCAAATTATATGCTGAGACAATAGATAAGTAATTTACACGAATTCCGTTAAACAGACTACATCCGCCAATACCGTCAAAGGGCTGGTCGAACAATAGGATTGTGCCATACGGTACTGCTCCGTGGTAACGTCGATTCAAATATTCCGAAAATTCAAAGACGCTAACATGCATGACTCGGTCAGAGTTAGTAAGCCCCTGTTACGTTATGGGAATATATATATTGGATATATTATGTGTACTGTTACAGTTTTGGACTTAACATGCTACTTCCATGGGAAAGAAGATCATTCAGTAAGTAAAATAAGAGTTTTTTTGCGACATTTATCTTGTTCGAAACATATGTGACCGATGCTGAGCATCTCATCGGTGTTAAAATATATCGTTTATTTGTCTTAATAATGATTATTCAATCTATAAATATATATTTATATATCCAAATCTATAGTTTAACCAATAATTACTCACAATTTTAAAATTGTTTGTGATTGATAAATACAAAATAGTTTCTAATAGCACTGGAGAACTATGATTACTTAGTACTTGCTGAAGATCGCGTTCAGTGTGAGTGACTACGGTACTCCCGTAGTGTGTGTACCAGGTTGGGGTTAGCTTAGGCCATAATTTGATTCCGATTTTCCTTATTTTAGTTCTATTACGAGTTCGGGGACTGTCTGTGTTAGCCAAGTGAATATATTCCCTGCCCATAGGCTTGCGTCCCTTTCCACAACTTGCTGTAGAATAGGCAAACAAAATTAGTTACCTTTATCATGGTACACACACCTCTGGAGAGTCGTGACTACACCATACTTATCACACTTCCATCATTTTATCTTATCACCAGTTTTTCCAATATAAATACTTAACCTTATAACATAAGTTGCAATAACTCTGTTCACAGCGAAGGTCGGTATTGGATATCCAAATTTGTTTAAATTGATGTGGAAACGCATTACATTTAAATAAACCTAAACATTTATAATGCTTTTTGAAAATATGGGCGTGAAAGGTAGTAAATTATTATACTATTCAATATTCATTAGCTATACTTAGTGAGCCGTATAGCTGCCCGCGGGCTCAATCGCGCCTGCGATATGCAAAACAATAACAAAAACAGTGTGGGTGCTATAGTGATGCGATTAATATAGTGAATCCAAGAGTGGGCGATGAATTGATAACTTTGTAAAATAAACAAATTATATAGGAAGAAAAGAACAGAAACCGTTGCACGAAGTACAAGTATTTTGCTAGAATATTTGTTCAGATTTGATATATATAAATAATAGCATTGCGTCGCAAAGTCCAGCGGTAGCCTGACTTGTATTCTGTATGGAACAAAACTGTATTACAATGACCCACATAGGTTTTCCACAATACAGAACGTAGGAGCGATTATAAGCTGTTTGTTTCGTGGTTAAAAGTACTGTGCTGTCTTTGTTGACTTTATTGCAGATAGAACTTCCCCTGATTGCTATTTATCTCTATCACGAACCACATTGCGCGTAAATAATCGCTTTCAATTCTTACCGGTAATTTTTCACGTCGTCGTGAGGGTGGCTTCTTCTGTGTAATTATCAACTAATGGTGACCCAGAATATGTTCTGGTATCAGTAGTAGCCCTCACTGGCAACATTTTATCGACGATACAAAATCCACTTGAATATCCACGAATGTTGCCAAGCTGGCAATTTTATTATACTCGCACGGAATTAAAACGATTAATTAAGCGGCTAGCAGTAAGAAGTTCAAGACCTAAAATTAAATTTACAAAAAATCTAAAACCTTTATTAAAATATGAACAATTATCAGCAGTAAAATACATATTTCACCTTTTCGTTACAATATACTCTAACAAGTATGGAACAGCAAGTTATGCCCACCAACAAATAATATTTATTCTGATTATGTATTGTGTTTCAGATATTGTTCTACTATTAGTCTTGACAATGTCAGCATACACAACGTACTGGTATCTACCAAGTCTTCTACGATCGATGGGAGGATATTTTGTGACTATTCTGCAGATTCAATAACAGTTATAATTGCCGTCTAGTGTGAAAGTCATTTTTTGTTATTGAATCACTGGATGGTTTGACATCGCTTATATATATATCATATTTATTGGTCATTGTCGATGCCGACACGGACTCAATATGTAGAAAATATTTTATTATATTGATATCGTACTCCAGCTTATCGGCTTTAAGTTTATAGCCTCTCCTCAGTGTTTTCAACTCAGGTTTGAAAAAATATATATCACCTGCCTCGCGAAATATTTTATGGAAGGGGGTAACTAGTAATGTTACCTCACACTAGGATATCACATTATGAATCTACGACGTTAGTGGGATTGTTATATACTATTGTGAAGTATAAGTATAAGGTACCGATACCTTTCAGCGTTATTATCTTTTTCAAAGCCAGCAAACACGGTTCATATTAAATATGCATCTTCGTTTTTTAACTTCCATCAGCAGCATATTTTTTCAAAAAATAGCTTAGATTTGACAGAATGACTGACTGATTCACTATCCCACCAATGAAGTTAGCATTTCCGCAACTGAATCTGTGGGTATTGCTGATTCTATTTATAATGAACTGTCCTACCAAATGCTGTGCAATTAGTAGCATTTGTTGAAAGTTAAATACCGTGTTTCCCCGAAAATAGGACCTACCCTGAAAATATATTCATATTTTGTATATTAGAAAATCTCGTAATTCTCTACTTTGTAATTTTGTTTTGATAAATGAAAATATAAGACATCCCCCGAAAATAAGCCCTAGTGTTATTTTTCGGAAGGAAACTGAAATAAGACCCGGTCTTATTTTCGGGAAAACACGGTAGTCGTCAGGAAAACGTTTTGAACTGGAAAACACTGTTAAATTCGACCATATTTTTCATGTTTATTTTTATATTGTTTGTTTTTAAAATCTTTTTAACAGTATGCCATAATGACGATGAAACGAACGACATATTTTGTACTGTGATTTCAGAAACATTTAAACTGAAATTAGTGCATTTAACATTTATATTTATGAAGAAACCTCTTAGTTGGAGCGTCATTTTCTACTGCTGTATAAAATTGGGACGAGCTATGATTCACTGTAACGTGATCCAAGATTGCTACTGAATGATTTTATGAAATAAGATCGCTATGATTAACTAAAGGGTTTCCAACGATATATTGTTGTGGTATTCACGTGGGTGTATATTTTTGTCGAATAAAAAGCATAGTCTATTCCTACTCGAGTTTTTTTATTGTTGTAGACATGCACCGTTGGTCATGTAAGAGAAAGACATTCTTTAAGTCAACCGTCAAAAGCTCGCCTATTGAAATTCAGCTATATGGACGTCCATATCATAATCTTTTTATGAGGTGGACGTCTCAAGTTTTCGCACGACTTTCATCTTGTCGTCAAAGTAACACAAACATAAAAGAACGGTTTACCCATTGGCATAAAAACTTTCTTATTTTTATATATTTGCTGTCACTTAATGGCAGCAAGTATAAGTACTGAGACCTGGTTCGAGCTCGCATACCACCCCAGACATGATGTAATAAATTGGACAGGACATGAAATATGATCATTTCCAACCTAAAGCTCTGTGGTTTCTTGGATCGAACCATGTAGCCTACTGAGGCTGAGTGAAGCATGACGTAACAAGCATATGACGATTTTGGTGATTTTCAAAGGCCAGCAGTATCATAAAGTCTATGGAAAAAGTCGAATAAACTTCAACAAAAACTTAAAATTGTGTGATAAGATAATATATAAGATTGAATAACAGATGCAAATAAAATTTTTGTGCATAGTGGGGTGGAATTAGGAGTTTAAAAAAGGTCAATAGGGGAATGTGTCAAAAAAGATTGGGACCACTGATCAACACAGTAAATGGATTTTATAAACAAGGTTTTTGAAGCCCCCTTCATTTTATGAGCGATCAGCTATTGTGGGCCAATATAACAATTTAGATTGCAGCTTCTCATATGTATTCATCCACTACGCTCATGTATATGACATTGGTTGTATGTGCATATTTTTGCTGTATATGTTTAGGACGTTACCAACCCTGTCGCTGAGGTTCACGCTGTTACAAAAGCATGTTACGACTAATTTATGTAATGTATGCCGATGAAAAGGAAGTCATATACATATTTTCCGTTACCTAGAATACATGCATTCGTCGTTTATATTCTTTGTATCAACGGCAATCGTTTATAGAATAAATAATCTCTTATTTCCGAATTACGTCTTTCGCCTATAATTTTAGAAAGCTATTATGCGAAGGACGCATTAGTTACATCGATTTAATATCAAACATAAAAATCATAATGAACCAACTCCGAGTAAAGAACTAAACGATGAGAAATAATTATAAGCATTATGAGAAAATTCACATAGGATAATTCTTATACAAGGTCCATTTCACGAATTCTTGTCTCTGCTTCTGACACTCCGTATGTAATAATCAACCGCAAGTTTGGCCACAAGCTGAGGTCTGACACAACCGCGCATTGATATGACGAAGGATACATCTTCTTGTAAAACACGGGTCCGTTGCTTGACAAATTTGAAAATCTCTCAGTTGGTTGATTAACGAGATCTAAAGGTTTTATAGAAGTGAGAGTGAATGGAGGTTCTGGCTTGAAACGATACAAAAAGTTTAAACAAACTCGTTTATTACGCTTGTCCGTATAAAATGTATTATAGGCCCCTATATAGTACCCCGACTTCTTCGCCGTCGGGCCGACGAATATCGCTTTTGTGCCAACGTTGATGTCGAATTCATCTGATTTATTTTCATCCATTTTTTTCTCGTGTATTGAGTAAGATTTGAAAGCACGAATGCAGTGGTTTGACTTGTTCATCAACAATAACGTACAGTCGATAACCACATGAGGATTCCACGTAGTCGTCATGTATAAATTTCCATTATGTACAAACGGTAGCCAGGCAAGGTTATTTTTATTTTTTTGTGCTTTGTCAATAGCATCCTCAGAAATTAACAAGACAGGATTTTCACAGCTAGCAATAGCACCTGAATTATGTTGGTGAAGCACAACTCTACATATGTATAAATGCCTTGGACTGCCAGGTGGGCAAAATGAGCGATTATATACTTGCAGCCTGCTGGTGAAAGTTAAGTACATATTATATTTCCATACAATTAGACGAGGACTTTGATATCCATGTCCACCATCCAAGCCATCATAGTGAATTTCACAATCAGCGTTTTTGCGGAATTCTGGCGGGTCAACAAGTTTTTCTTTTGTCAACAACGTTTTTTTCAGATTTTCGAATGGATCGAATTTTATTTGAATTAATTGAAACTCTAGATTACCAGCTTTGCCGTTTCTGGAAAGTTTGGCGAAGAAAAAATTGCTTATCTTGTTCCAATGTGGAGAGCTTTGTGGGTGCTTCTCCCTAATCAGCTTGCCAACTTGTCCCACACAATAAAAACTATTTTGATAATTCGCCACGCCAAGATTAAAATGGCGCCAATCCAGAGCCCCAATGTGCTCATTGTAATGCAGAGCTATATCGGCCGACAGTGAGTAGTCTTTATCTTTAGACATTTTTTCGTTATGAACGTTATTCCTGTGATGGATAAATATTCCAGTACGTCCTGAAACATCTTTTCTTGAAATTACGTTATCAGTAACTATGATAAACGTCAAATATAGTAAGGTCAAACCTAGCAAAACAAAGCTCATAATATTTGCTACCACTGGCATCATTCGCCGTGTTTTATTGTATAATGCATGAAACCTCCAAAATTTAAGACGCATTATGTGATTGTGCATTATGTAAACACAGGAAATCGTGACAAATCATTGAAGAGGCTTGGTACCAATCTTGGGTTAGGTAGCCGCAGTAAAAATATTTTATATTTGAGATATCCAGTGTTATTTTGTTTTTGTTGACCTAGCTTATCTCCCGGTTACAGCGGGACATACCGTGTTTTCCAGAAAATAAGACCTACCCTGAATTTAAAAATGATTTCAATATAAGCCTTCCTCTTAAAACGAGACCTAGTCAGTAGCGCGAAATTGTTTTTTACCTAGCCCCAGTCGATAACAAGAAATCTCTCCTACACGTTTTAAATGATCAATCTGAAACGTGTGAGAGAGGAAAACGTGTTATTTTATTTATAAGTAAATGGATGTCGGTTTTCATATTTTGTATATATATTTAAAAATCTCGCAATTCTCCACTTTTGTTGTTGTAATTTTGTTTTTAATAAATGAAATAAAAGACATCCCCCGAAAATAAGCCCTAGTGTTATTTTTTGAAAGAAACTTGAATAAAGACCTGGTCTTATTTTCGGGGCACACGATATTCATATATATGAAAGATCAATGTTTGGAATACAAGCTTTTTTGAAATATTTTGCAGGATTGGCATTTCAAATTTTTCAATGAAATCTCTTCGTTCAGATATAAAAGATTATTATTTTTATGATATCAAATGTTTCATAGTATATAATTGAAATATTTTTGAAAGATAAGGTCGAAAGAAATCGACTTAGTTTGCAGTTGGAAGCCAGTCAAATTTGAATTTAGCATGGCGTATTTATTACACAAGGCAAAATCTCGAATATGTGAGCGATATTCTATTCGAATACCTATCAGTAATTGGACACACGTAGTGGACCTATGGATCGTTTTGGTATTAGGCTATGTTGTTGTTGTTCTTGGTATTCTTCTTGCTAGGGTTATGAAAAAATCGCTTCTCTTCAACTACTCTTACGACTGGACCAATTGTTTTGAAATTTTCAGTGGTTAAAGATTGAATATTTGCTAGAAGTGTAGGTAATAAACGGTGCTATCACCTAACTATGATGTGGGGTGATATCGTGTGATTCAATGTGCGAGTAACACCAGAAATACTTAAAAAGCCCGATCCCAAATAGTTCATCCAACATTTGTTGCTTTGACTTTATTGCATTATCGCAGTAGTAATGCACATCGATGAGTCAGTTTATTCCAGTTATTACACACAATTTAATCTAATTTATGAACATCACTCCAAATATTGACTAAATAAATAAAAACAAACATGAAAACATAACTTACAAATTAGCAAATTCCAAGAGCAAAATGATGGAGGCGCGCTCACTAAAACCACAAAAAGAAGAGAGCGGCGTGCGAGAGGATTCACAGATGCCAGATTATTGGTCAGAATACAGTACAAAGCCAAGTTGGCTCAATGAAATATCTATTTGGGACTCATGTATTAACCATGGGAATAATATATGGAATTAATTATTAGAATCAAATTTTGGATATTAATCACTTCCTATAACTGAATACGAATGTACTACGGTTACAAAACTGAATGATTATCGCAAGACTGGGAAAAATAGATATTACGAAACACTTTTCTGGAACACAACCTAGTGCCCATAATTAAAATGAGGTAACATTTCTTACAAGAAGATTATTGCTTTTATTTATTTCAAATATTGCTGCGAGCTTCATGAAATTCGTTTTTTTTTTTGCTTAGACGTCACCAAAATTCGCCACCTTGTGGCGGTCCCGCGAACGCATATCAGTCGATCTCATGCTGCTCGGCGAACGCCGGTGTAACAACGGTAGACAGTGGGACCTGGGGCTACATTCGCCAAACTTCGTAAAAAGACTCGTTTACGATCACGTAACCTTGTCTCTCAAAAACGCAGTTACGAAATCTCGTTAAGTGCGATTCACGAAACCTCTCGTAAAAACTTTACGCACGGTCACGCAAGTTCTCTCGAAATCTAACGCACGGTCGTCGTTGAACAAAAACCACTGTATGATCTTTCAACCGTATCAGTTAGAGTTGCCATATTGGCTTTTTTTAACGCTAAATTTGCCATTTTTGGCTTTTTTCAAACGCGTTTGGCGTCAGAATTTCCGTTTGGCTTTTAGGCGTTTTTTTGGCTTTTTTCAAGTCTATTCTAGTGTCTATTATTAAAATCATACGAAATACAATATTTAGTGTGTAACAACGTACTTAGCTACTTAACATTAGGATTTCCTGGAGCATCGATTTCCTTGTTTGTTACATTAACTCTTAACCATATCCTACCCAAAACAAAAAGAAATAAGTGCAGTTTTCTGCAGCTGCTCAGAAAGATGTTCAAGCAGGGTTGTAAACATTGCCTCGTTTTTATAGTTTTGCCTATCTGTCATTTTTACATTCTGTTTCCAAAAAATAGTTGTATAACTTAATTTTCATTATGCCTGATATGGTTTATGTG